TCCTTTAACTTTATAGCATCTGATTGTTCAACCTCGAACTTTTTGCAAAAAGAGCTGATAGGTATATCCCAAACGTTGAACTTCTGCATCCAGTCGATACCTACTAGATTTTCAATATCTTTCATGTCGTATATCTTAAGTTTTTTTTTTGTTTTGCCGTGAAATTTAACATTCACGATTATTTCTCCTTCGAATTTTATTCGCTTGCCTGTAACCGACTTGGCAATTTTTTGTGTATGTAACATGGTTGGTCTGTTAAGTTTTCTCCATGTCTGTAGGTTGGTTATCGTGAGGTCGGAACCCGAATCCAGTTGCAATTTTATCTTTTTTATTTAAGATTTCAAGTTCCACATATTTTCTTATGTTGGTATTGTCTTCGTTATGCATCCTAGTAGCTCTTATTCTACTAGTATCTTTTCTATTCCTACATTAGGATGCCTTGCGGCCCATTTTTCCACACTCAAGACAGTTTTTATATTTAAAACGGCAATCCTTGTTCCAATGAAGTCCTCGACATCGATAACATGTTGATGGGGGGGGGCTTATATTTGCTTCGATTTTCGTCATAATTTGCCCTGTATGTTGTACTTTTTCTCTTATTATAGAATTTTTGTTTTCTTTCCGGGGAGGGTGAGAATCTTTTTTCATTATTATAGAATTTTTTTCTTTCTGGGGAGGGTGAAAAACGTAGACTTTTGTTTAACTTACGTATATGAGATACAGCTAACTCCTCAATGTCCTTCGAGTCTTTCTTTATACTTAGACATCTCTGGCAATCTTCCGGTAATTGCTGTAGTGTTAGTCCAGGTTCATTTTGTAATTTTTAAAGCATTCTTTTGCGCATTTCACTATCTTTTGTTGAAACTAACCCTTGAACAAAGATGAGACACTTGAAATTGTCTGGGGTTAATTCCGCTAATTTGAAGTCGTCACAATGTTTATTTACGATTGCGGCAAACGTGGAATAATTCTCATTATTGCCCTTTAGCAGGTTAAGGCATTTCAACCTCTTGTGGAAGAGTGATGTTTTTGTACTAAAGAGTTCTTTAAGACATATAACTACTTCGTCAAATGTTAATTCGCTCGTCTTTTTTGACAAGAAATAATCCACGAACTAATTTTCTAAGCAATAGACGTAGCTTTTTTTCTTCTGTCCAGTTTTGACAGTCGATGTTAAAGATGTCTTCATATCTTCTGAAGTAATCTCCGAAATTGTTATTCTCATCGAAAGAATATTTGAAAATCTCTATGGTATTCCACACTGAATCTTTCAAAAATGTTGCCTCTTTTTCAATATCTAATTGCTTGTTACCCGCTACTTTCAATATTAGTTCCTGGAGCTCTATTTGTCTTTCTTGATTTTCCTTCTGCGTTTGTAGTAATTGCTTTTGCCATTTTTCTTCCATTCTTTCTTGTAGTTGTAATTGTTGATTATTTTGGTATTTTACCAGTTCTACCAAAATATTTTTAAAATCTTCCATGATAACTAAACTTTACGTATTTTTATCCTCGTAACTCTTTGTCGCCAATTTGTTGTGGACGACGAGGGAAAATTTTTTTGTTGTTTGTTCTTCCTGTGTGAGTTCAAATCGCTCGTCGTCAGTTTGTTGGGGACGAGGGGAGGATTTTTCTATTTCTTCTTCTCGTGTGAGTTCGAATCGCTCGTCGTCAATTTGTTGTGGATTCCGGGATGAAATCCGGTCTCAAATGAATGACAAACGCAGGAATGAAATATAGCAAATAAATGTATTGACGTAATAATACAATTGGTAATACGGTTAGCAGATCAAGAAATGCGGTTAGTAGCAATAATAATATATATATACAGTCTGGAAAATTCAGTATCGAAGTATGACTTCCTTCTGAGTCTACGTGCTCGCAACTGTGACTCCTACAAAGCGGTTACCTCACACTCTCACTCTCTCACTGTATCTCTGTCTCACCCTCGGGTATTCACCGGTAGCAATACAAGTACACACTGGGCGAGTCCACTTGTATAAAAAAGGGGTGGACCCCTTAACAGCATCCTTACACTTTCCGTTATCAAACTGTCCATAAAAAAGAAGTTTGTTGTCACCCATACGAACAACGTGACGACGTCAACGAAAAATTTGAGAATAGTTCCTTAAATTCTGTCTCACTGTCTTCCGTTCAAACACTTCTAGGATGTTGACATGAATTCTCCAATGTCTTCCGTACAAGGTTCGTTGGTGAAAACGTTCAAGCCGCATCAAGTGATTGCGATAAACAAACCACTTTTCAAGTGCATACAGTATACATTGACGTAGTTAAAATACAAGTATAGTACATTTTAATCTTACTCAATTTCAAAATTCCATGCTGTTTCCACAGTCGCTGCTCCAGCTTACCAAATTCATTACTGGTCTTTTAAATTCTCCCCCTCTTTTTAGAGGAATATATGACAACGTGAGGACGAAGCCTGAATATATCTGAAAGACCAAAAAGCAAAATTGGAAAAGAAGATCGTAAGTAGTTTGCTGGCAGGGATTATGCTTAATGTTTACAATTATTTAGTCTACAGAAAAAAAGGGAGCTACATTAAATTATAATATTGTTCAAATATGATATAGTGTATGGACAGTTAATATACAGTGAAAAGAGTTCGACATAACGAAGTACATTCAACAAAATAAATGTACTCAATGTGGTCACATTATAAAACTGTTCGTATTATGGAATCCTCCACATTTGCCGGTCACTCCCTACGAGAAGATGCACTCTTCCCCAAATAAACCTTTAACCAATCATCACTTTACTTTTCCAAACTCACTCCTCCATTGGTTAAAAAGACACTAAAATGTAGCAAAACTTTTTTCCCGCGCAGGTCTCTGAAGCCTATTTGGAAACCCGAAAATCTATAAAAGGAATCGATCGACTTAATTCAAGTTAGTCAGACACTGAGTTTCGAGAGATACCAGCAGACCCCACGCGTGCCAACACACTGACTCAATAACCCCTACCAACCTCTCAACAACTCAACACAACTCGCACTACTATTGCCGCGTGAAGAAACTTAACTTACAATTTACTAAAAAGTGACATTATCACTCCAAAACAGTAATTGTACATTCAATCAACTTTAGCCTATCAGTTAAAGACGAACAACTCTTCATAATTTGAATCAACACTGGCAGTTCTCACATACATACACACTATCACTTGAACTTACACAATTGACAATTTTCCTTGCAGATATCAAACTATTTTAATTTCACAAATAAACTTAAACTATCAACCTTTACTCTCTAAATTTCTGCATGGACAATCTTTGTAACCTTATCTCACTTGCCACATTTAACAAGCAACTTATTATCACATTGTGTATGTCAAATAATATATAATATATATATATATATATATATATATATATATATATATATATAAATTCATGTTATTGTTGAAATCTCTAATGACGTTGTTTTCAGTAATTTCTTGAAGTTGAATTGTCTATTTATTTTTGTTTGATTTATTTGTTGTGGATAAATGTATTACGATCACCGCACATTCTTGGTCTTCACAAAAAAATCACCTTCTGATACATCTTACTCAGCATAGATTCCGCAACAGTTTAATAAGAGAATATTATAAGAGCTCAATACTTAGAAAAAGCATAAGAAATTTCATACCGACGATATCACGTGGAGATAGAATCTGGAGGAAATATAGGTTGTCGCTTATTCTGCGGATTCCGATAATTCCAAAGGGTTAAAGAGGAAAGTTGCTAAGACGTTGACTGACCCAAAAAGTACTTAAAGCGAAAGGGGGCGACCAAGAGGAAATAAAACAATAAATATACTGTACTGTGTCAATAAAACACGCCTCGCCTATCGTAATTATCCGCCATTATTATGATGTAGGCTTCGTGAAGAAAGAAAACAGATTCTGAAACAGTTCTGAGATGAAATTTGGTGCCGTCTCTCTCTCACTTTTTTTTTCTTTTACTTTTACCTTGGATATTTTCCTTTCCTATTTCCGCCAGGATAGACTTGTGTGTCCAGCCCGAAGAATCAGTCGCTCCTTTGGGCTAAATTGTCTTGAGAAGCACAATGCTTTCACTTTTGAAGCTGAATCTTTAGATGTCCAACTTCCTACGTGCGCCTGAAGAAAAGAGAAGAGAATTATTGTTTCCCCCGTCTACAAAAGAACGTCTGTACCAGTTGCTGGACATATCTCCATTGCTATTTGAAGTTATATTTTATTCGAAATTCCCTGACTGGAGTAAAGGGTCTTCAGTCTTTCTGGGTAAGAGGCGTGGTAGGTGTGTCTATGTGGGGTTCATCTGAATGTCACATCTGCAGCTGGCACAGAGTCACCCTCCCCCACCGTGTTCGGGATCGAGATTTGTTTCCTTTGTCCAAGCTTCTTGCATGGGGGGGGGGAGTAGGGGAACAGTGTTGAGCTTCTGGCTATTAGATTCTCTCTACACGAAATAGATGCACAACATGCAAAACAAGCACACACACACTCTTTCTATCTCCCTCTTTCTATCTCTCTCACTATCTCTCTCTTTCTATCTCCATCTCTCTTTCTTTTACTATCTCTCTCTATCTCTCTTTCTATCTCAATCTATAATTTTTTTCTTTCTCTCTCTCTCACACACACTCTCACTCTCTTTCTTAACAGATTAAACAAATGCTCATAAAATAATAGGATATTTAAGTGTGTCCAAAGCTTAGAAGAAGACGATAAGAACTTTCATAGCGGTGATGATATGACGTGGGGATAGAATTTGGAGTATAGAAAAAAATGGGAAGAGCATACCTTCTGCTTGTCGCTTATTCTGCGGCTTCCGATAATTTATAAGGTTTAAAGAGGGGTGGGTGGCCAAAGCGGTGACCAAAATGTATACCTAAAGCGAAAGGGGACAAACGAGGGGAAGTAGAACAATAAAGGTGCCATACTTTGGTAACAGAACCGCTACGAAGATAAACAGTAATCAATCACTCCTATACGCTCATTGTATACACATATATGTGGTTCTATATAAGGTCTGCTGATAGATAGATAGATAGATAGATAGATAGATACGAACAGACTGGAATAGATAGATAGATAGATAGATAGATAGATAGATAGATAGAAACGCACAGACTGAGAAAGAAAGAAAGAAAGAAAGAAACGCACAGACTGGGATAGATAGATAGATAGATAGATAGATAGATAGATAGATAGATATGAAAAAGACTGAGATATCGTTTATATCTACGAACGCTCCATTTGCTTTACTGAACACTACTATTGATATAGCAAATTGTAAACAACGTGATGACTTTTCCTCACTAACGAACATGCAATAAATGAAAACACACAGACACACACACACACACACACATATATATATATATATATATATATATATATATATTATGTGTTGCCGTTTAGTTTATATTATAATGAATTATTCCTACAAAAAGTAAATTAGAAAATTTAATGAGATAAAATGGAGAATTCACTTCGCTAACTAAATTTTTAAAATGCATTAACCCTCTAACCACTCGATGAATGTTATGATCCTTTTCTTTTAATATTATAAAGTATATTGTTTCCATACCTGATGATGACCGGAAAACCAGTTAAAAGTACTTGCATATTTAAGGAATACCAAATGCAGTTTATAATTCTAAAAAAAAGGGATCATAACCTTCATCAAGTGGTTATTGGTTAGTGGGTTAATGCATTTTTAAAATTTAGTTAGCGAAGAAAATTCGCAATTTTATCTCATTAACTTTACTAATTTACTTTTTGCATGAATTATCCATTGTAATATATATATATATATATATATATATATATATATATATATATATATACTACAGAAAAATTAACTTTGCGTACTCTTCGTAAATAACCTCACAATTTTATGTGCAAGCCACTATTTAAAAGATAGGGATAAACAGAGTATATTTTATGAATATACATGTGTATATATGCGTATGTGCGTCTGTATGCGTGACAACTGTAGCAGCTGGTCTTAACTCCATTACATTTGCATTGATTAGCATAATCACATTGACAATGAAATCATTTGCGCCGCCCGCTGGTGAAATCCGTATATTTTACTGACGACCATTTCACGAGCAAATAATTATACACTGTTTTTAAAAAGTCGATTGAAATAAAACTATTGTGCGACACAAAGAGCGTAATGATAATGGCTGAGAATTTTTGTGTTTATTCAACACCCACATTTGCTGTTTATACTGCGACTATTCAGGGCAAACACCAATTACAGTTTCTGGATGAAAGCTCATAATCTGGCGTAATCAACAGCTTCAACAAAGCCAGTACGCATAGAACCTCGGTCACGCTGACTTGTGACTTCCTGCTAGCATTGCTATCGACGGCTTCCAAACAGTTCCTTCACCCAATTTCACTCGCGAGGCTTGGGTCAAACAGTGCTTTCTCAAGACGCCTTATGCTGGGTTCGCTTCTACAGACTGATAATATCAAGAAGTCACCGTCCTGATAAATCGACCATCGTGAAATTCGAGCCCGGGTCTTCTGGGTGAAAAGCGAATGGTCTAACTACTCGGACTAGACTGACGTTATTACACAATTATATCAATGCAAAAAGAAAGATATTATAGCGTCAATTCCCAAGTGAAAAACCTGCCCTCAAATGCATAGGACAGTCTTGTTTTGAAATCGATTACTGAATACACGAGATAGAGAAAAAAGAAAAAGTGAGAAAGGAAGAGAAAGAGTGAGAAAGGAAGGGAAAGAGAAAGAGTGGAAAAAGAAAAGGAAGGAGAAAGAGTGAGAAAGGAAGAAAGAGAAAGAATGAGAAAGTATGGGAAGGAGAAAGAGTGAGAAAGGAAGGGAAAAAGGAAGAGGGAGAAAAGAAGGGAAAGAGAAAGAGTGAGAAAGAAGAGAGGGAGAAAGTGGAAAAGTAAAGGAACGAGAAAGAGTGAGAAAATATGAGAAGGAGAAAGAATGAGAAAGGAAGGGAAGGAGAAAGAATGAGAAAGGAAGGGAAGGAGAAATAGTGAGAAAGAAAGAGTGAGTAAGAGTGAGAAAGTATGGGAAGGAGAAAGAGTGAGAAAGGAAGGACAAAAGGAAGAGTAAGAAAAGAAGGGAAAGAGAATGAGTGAGAAAGGAAGGAAAAGTCAAAGAGTGAAAAACGAAGGAATGATAAAGTGTGAGAAAGGAAGGGAATGAGAAAGAACGAAAAAGAGAAAGAAGAAGAGTGAGAAAGGAAGGGAATGAGAGAGAGAGATAGAAATTGATTAAGAGGATGATAACGAGATTCTCAAAAGATTTTTATATGGAACTGCATAACAAATCATTAGCTTAAAAAATAACCATGAAAAGGAAAAAAGCCTTCTTTCCTGTTTCCTAATAAAATTATCTAAGGGGGGACTTTTGAAAGCTGTCCAAGATTGTGAGAAGGACAAAGTGAAAGTGTAAATAGGAGAGAGAGGCTGAGAAAGAGAAGAAGAAAAAGAGAACGAAAAGAGTGAAAACTGAAAAAGACAGAAATAATGAAAAAGGAGAGAATGGGAGAGAAACACTAAGAATATAGAGTAATAGAAAAAGAGAAAAATGAGAGAGTAAGAGGAAACCTGAGAACAATATGTAAATTGATTTAAATAGACTAAGATAAATATATATGTATATGCTCATTAATCGATATACACAGCTTAGACCAGGTTTTACAAGTCTTGACTTTACGAGGAGATAATTCGATTGTACAGAACTTCTGGGTGATTATGAGATTCGCTATTAGAAAGATGACCTTTATTCATATTCGAAATATGATTGAATTGCTCGTAATTGAATCATGTTCTCTCATTTACGAAACATTTTCACAGATCAATTATTTACTGACTAAGGCATTGTGAATACATTATTACAACACAATGCTCAATCTTATATGTCACTGTCTTTATGAATCGATGTGCAAATCCGATGTATGCTAAAAAAATGAATGAGCGTTTATATGCCGGGTCAAAAGGCAGGATACCCATCGATTTTATCTTTTGAAGCACCAGTGTTCAGAGTGATGACGCAGCTTCCATGTCTTTCCTGTCATTGACAAAAGAAATCTTAGACAGCTCAGAAATATTTTCATGTTTCCATGAAGTCAAAATATTAGAGACGTAAACCTCACAGAAATATAAGAATGATTCAAAAGTCACCCCTTAAATATCTTATTATGAAAGAGAAAAACTGTTCTTCCTTTTCATGGTAATTTTTTTTTGTGATGCCAACAAATACTCGTTGCCACTTTTCTAATGCTCGTTGTAGTAGAGACTTTGTAATCGCAGATACAACTATAGTACGCTGTCAAATATCGAATATCACTCGCATAGTGATAGTACTTGCTCGATAATACTCGCTCGAACATAATCGGTATAGTGAAATAGTATAGTGAATAGAGTAGAGAATAGCGGTCCATATAATAATGGAGGATAGAGTAAAAATTGTGATCCGTATAGCAATAGAGGATAGAATAGAAATAGCGATCAATTAGACATCACGCGACTTATGCGTTTCCTCTATGGACATGTAGTCTACTTAATTCAATAATGGGATTGTCTGTTTTTACTCACTGTCGATCTGTTCAAACTCAAGTGTCAGCAGCGACACTTTATTCCTATATAACAATTTCTTATTATTGATCTGTTACGCTGTTCATTATATAATTTAAACACCTCGATAAAGGCAATATATATATATATATATATATATATATATATATATATATATATATCGAGAAATAATTTAACTATGATTTCACCGTTATACCCGTTATTGCACGCCATGTAAGCCTGCACGACCCGGGCCAGTGATTGGAGTCACAATATCTATGTCATTAAAACCAAGTACCACTGCTTTAATCCACTAGGCTTATTGCGCCGTGGGACAATCCGGAATCTAGAATGGGGGGGGCTGTAAGCTAAAGCTTATAATTCTACTCTCATGACTATTGAGATATACTTTCACACATTTGTATGTAATTCAACATATTATTTAATAAATATAGTATAGCAATAGAAGCATAGTTTTATTTATCCGTTCAAGCATAGGCATTCATTGCACACATGCATATATTTCAAACGTATTTGAGCGATCGATCTAAGTTCATTCATATATATATATATATATATATATATGTGTGTGTGTGTGTGTGTGTGTGTGTGTGTGTATATATATATATATATATTTAGGCAGCAATTTTTCATTAATTTATTAATTAATGCATGTTTCATTAAATAATATAGACAATCTTTGATAATGACTTATGTAAGCCATTTAAACATGTATCAATATGGTGTTTTCCATTCGTCTTTCAACAATAATGTGATTAAGTTTATCAGACAATATGATAGGAACTTAAAATAAATAGACAAAACTTGTCTATATTATTTAATGAAACATGGATTAATATATATATATATATATATATATATATATATATATATATATATGAATGGGTAAATAGTTAACCCCCAAACTTGGGTCAAAACACTATGAAAGTGTAAAAAAAGGTTTTAATCCCAGAAATATTTGTAAAAAATTATTACCAGCAATACATTTTTGAAAAGAAATTACCAGCAATAAAAATCTTGTCGATATTAAATAACCCATTGAGGTTGATAAGCCTTAAAATAAAACAAACCAAACCAAATCAAACTTTTCTTTCGATGAAGCTGTAAAATATTGAAGACGGTTGCTGAAAGAAAAATGGCGGACGAGAAAACATTGAAACACATTCGCTTTAAGTGATTTTAACTCGGGAAATTTCGTTCGTAAAATGTCAAAGAAAGAAAGAAAGAAAGAAAGAAAGAAAAGGAAAAAATATAAAATAATTAAAAAAAAGTAATTGAAATAAATGTGAGAATTTTGTTTTTCTTTACTCAATTGCCATTTCTGTATTTTTGTTAAGAATTTCTCGCCTGAGTCGGACACCCAGTGCGAACGACGTTAACTAGAATAGAAACGGTCCAACTCATGGAAATGAGCGAATTGATTTTCAGATGAAAGCCGCAGAATTATAAAACATTTAACTTTAAAGATAAATGCAACACAATCTTCTAATCCTTCCTTTTTACCTTGTGTCAGACTAAAACTTCGTAAATATTCACAAGTTTCTTTCTCATAGATTTTTTTCACTTATGCATGTCACCTGTACTTTTTCCGATATGGAGATCTTGTATTTTACATACGCTATAATTTCCTTTTTTTTTCTGCCAGGTGTGAATCCAGCCCAAATCCAGAGGACACCTCTGAAGCCAGAAAACTTTTTGCCCTTTCGGATACAAACTTCGATCATCAATTGACCTACGACGAATTCGATGACGTTTTTATGTCTTTTGATATCAACGGTGAGTGAACTAATTAGTTTTCAATATGGATTTTATGTTATTTGCATATATCATTCAAATACTGAGTAGAGGACAGGATACCGTGAGGACTCGATCGTCAAAATACATCATCACAAATTCTTTATTTTGAAATGTTAGATGAAGAATTTTCACTATTATTATTTTATTATGTAGCCATATATAGACAGGAGCTTCCCAGTCTTCACTTTCAAGTCTCGATAGAGTTCAAATGCGTCTCCGCGTCCTTGTGGGTGATGAATTATTTTCCATCTTACACCCTCCTTTCTCACAGATGAAAAGTCGCAAGCTTATCACTGCTATATCGCTATTTCCATGGAAAGTGTTCAAACGAATTAGACTTCTTAGTACCACCAGTTTTTACCTTCATGGCTAAGCCCTGCCCTACCACGCCCATTATAGCGAACCACCCTCATTCCATTCGTATAACATTGGTGAGATGTAAGCTCCACTTGAGCAGCTTCTTCCCATAAACCGCTACTTTGTGGAACTGATTCCCAACAGGATGCGTTCTCGATTCTTACATTTATTACTACTGTTATATTCCCCACATATCCACAGAAAACTGTACTCTTCTACCTCGAGTGGCTCCCGAGCCATGTACAGGGTGAACATCATTATAAAAAAAAGCTTTATTTACTCCATATTAATGGTGCTTTTGATGTCGACACGGCGTCGATACGGTCTTCGACCTCTAGATAAAACAGCGTGAAATTTGAAATAATGTTCAGGTTTTCGACTAGACTTGAACTAGTATTTCGTAACTGGGAAGCCAGTTTTTAATGGACGTCGCCCTAAGCACTTTGGTCATGGAAGCATCAATAATTAAAGAAAGTACTCATCTGTAATCATTCAACAACACCATTCTCTAATTTTCGGCCTCCTCTTTGTTTTACTAACTTCTATCAATAGAGTCATTACTCTCGAAATTTGACAATGTATTTTTCTCTTATATTACGGTTAGTTTTACTCCATTTTATTATTTTTATTCTTCATCTCATCACTTTGGATCGATATACTCTTCAACGGCTTAAGCCTTTCAAGACTAAAACAGGCAGTATAATCCAATTCAATATTTCTACTGTGATAAAGCTTTTCCAAATTTTGAAACGAAATATTTTTAAAATATTTTTCCTATTTCATACGCTTTTACGTAACAATAAATCGTTAAATTTTGATAGATTTGAAAACCATTTATTGACAATTTACCGTTAGATAGAAAAACACAAGATGAGCCAATCATTTCGCTTCTGTGTTTTTGCTGTGTAAGGCCAACTAATTTCTGAGTGACTTTTAGACTCTGACGATATTGTCGTCTGCAGATGTAAAAGTTAAGAAAATCTCATTTACTTTATCTCTCGTGACATGTACGGTTTAGTAGATTTCTAAAAGAGCTGTCTATCCCAGCAGCCAAATCTCGGGATTTATATTCCACAGAAATTCTCTTGGGAGGAAAATAAGTTTTAATCTTATCAGAAGTTATTTCATTATTTTTGATTTCTTAAACCAAACTTAGTAAATATCTTGTTCACTTTGCTATCAATCTCTATCTATAAAAGGCAGGATGTGTGTGTGTGTGTGTGTGTGTGTGTGTGTGTGTGTGTGTGTGTGTGTGTGTGTGTGTGTGTTTAAAATTACATGCACTTGCTCCAAGTTAGCAGGAAGGCCAAGACCTACTTTACATTTCCCAACTCACATCGATAGCGGAAATAATCGATTTTTTCATGCTTCTACGGCAGTTTTCATGTAGTTTGCAGCCATTTTCTACTGGCCAGAGTGATAGCCAATAGCTGGCTTCCACGAATAGGCAGGAAGATTCTATCGGCCAGCGTGAGAGCCAACAGCTGACTGACACGAATGTTAACTAGCATGCTAGCATGCAAAATATCAATAGCTGCATTTGTCACAAGTGGGAAAAATTTAAATCTGCATGGCACTTTACTCCAATTGGCTCATTCGCTTGCTTAAACTCAACGTTGATTCTGATTCCGCAGAACTTGGTTGCGTGTGAAAAAGTATTTGTTATTAACATTCTTTTTTCATTCGGTTTTTCCAGTTACGAGTCCTTTTCTAAAGCTGATCGTTTTGTGTTCATTTTGTTTAGTTCTTTTTTCGTAACAGATTTTATGTTTAGTATAGAGCTTAGAAAAATTCGCAGTGTGAGATAGGCAAGAAGTAAGGCATGTAGCAACATCAGCACGGCAAAGGGCTCTCCTTTAAAGGCAAGGAAGGGCAAAAATATTTTTAAGTCAAGTGATAACGATTGCTGTATGAGTCGTACGATTTTTGAATCAAGCACGGGCAACGCCGGGCCATGCTGCTAGTTGATAATAAATTCAGTTCACTTTTGCTGCCTCCCCCCAAAAAAGAACATGGCCTTGAATCAAACATTACAAGATCAGGGATTAATGTTTCCTTTCTGATGAATGAATTCCCAAATTTGCAAAGCTTCACAGTAAAAAAAAAATAAATAAATAAAAACAACCAAACATAAAAACAAAAACACATAAACATGTTGAAAAGAAAAGAAAATTGCTAATCAAGATCACAGACAAAGTCCACTCAGACCACAAAACCATTCCTATTTACAGAGTGGGGGCTGTAAAGGCTTTATATTGTTTCCAATTCTTTCAAAAGAAAGTCTTAATGTGCGCTACTCATGATAGGACAAAACACATTGACGGTTATGTAACAGATATTCAGCGCTATCGCAGACCCGGATGTATTGACGATCCGAAGCAATTTATGGAATTACCCTTTACGGATACTAGACAGTACGTGCTGACTTATTATTACGTTACGTTGTACTAATAAAAATAGAATAATAAGTATATATTTTAACTTCTATTCTTAATATTTATGCTGGATTGTTTTATCCTTTGTTAAATTACATACTTTATTTTTATTTCTCTTTTCGGACTATTTATACGTTTTATAATAAAAATCAACTGTTCTTTTTATGGATTTATTTTTAAAAAGCCGAACACTCTGCCTGTATTTCAAGGAAAAATAACATTGTGATCAGATTAGTTTAAAGCTCGTTTGAAATTACATTTGTTTCAGGTGACAATAGGGATTCCCTTCAACAGAGAACAGAATATTCCCCCCTCTCTCTCTCTCTCTCTCTCTCTCTCTCTCTCTCTCTCTCTCTCTCTCTCTCTCTCTCTTAACATGTCTTCCGGGAGGAAAGCCCACCGGATTATTTCGAGATGATTGACATGGCAGAGGAGGAGAAGTCGGTTTTTCCCGTCAGGATGGATGCTGCAGATGTAGTATCTGCTCCTTGCCGGAAGACTTCTCTCCTCCTCAGAGTTTTCCTCCCACCCACCCTATTGCGTGACATCTGTTACCTAGCGGTGGGATGACTGACTATGACTAGCTTGGACAAGCTCTGACCAACTAAGACCAGCTTAGACAAGCTAAGAGACCAGAGACCCGACTGGAAAGAATCGTGTCTCCACGTTAAAAACCGACCTTGTGTCACAACCTGACACAGAAGGGGGAGGGGTCAAGATAAATCCCATAACGTGCACGTTTTTGTGTGCGCGGCGCATGTGTGTGAGTGTGTGTGTGCGCGCGTGCCTTGATTCGTGTATATGTGTGCCTTGATTTATGTCCACTTAACTTTGAGGGCAGTGGAGTGGCTATCGAACTGGAAAATGGAAGCGGTGAGCCGGGTTCAAATTCCGTCCTATACTATTCACTTTCGCACAAATGACTCTTGAAAAGGCATGTAACCATCTTTCCCTCCTCCAGCTATGGGCTAAACAGCAGTGTAGGCCGGTTACTTTCTTGCTTTGAGCTTAAATGAGATTGTGTAGAACGCCGACAACCAGCGTCGATTTAATCATTTTATGACACCTAAGTTTGAAAAGTCTTTCTTAAGCATAGAAATAGTTTCAGGGGATATTTACTAATACAACAGTGACCACAATAAATATTTCACTTGGTGCCATTTAAGATAAACATTTATCTACTTAGCAAAGCCGAAACTCTGCATGAAGAAATATTTATGACTACCTAATTGCATATATATATATATATATATATATATATATATATATATATATATATATATATAGGCGACCTGACGATTGTGTCTAGCATGAAACAGCCTGCCGCCTCTGAGTGTTGACTTCAATGTTCTCTTTTATATTTATATTTACATACGCTCTATCACGTTATCCCATAAATATAGCGCAATTTAAAACCATATTTCTGCACATATATATATATATATATATATATATATATATATATATATATATATATATATAATACTGAAAAGGTTAATGGTCAGAGAGTTGGATTAAACCAGAAAAAAAAAAGTATTAAAAAATGCTCAATACACATGTGAAAA